TTAACATGAATTTCCCTATTTGTATAGGATAAAGGTTTTATATCCGCAATGATTAGTATGTCGTTGGTAATTGTGGTATTGTGAAGCTGACTTGTATTTCTCGATTGTATTTTTGTTTAAATGATACTTTATAATAAAGCGGAGATGGCATCTCGGATCAAGTAGAGTAAACAGAGCAGGAACAGTATCAGCACCTAGAGAGACTGGTTTAAATTTGGCGTGATCAGAGGGACTTGGGTTAACTTTACGAAAATCTCCCCAAATAGTGAAGGTCACATTTTATTCATAAGTTTGTTGGACTGGTCGACCTTTGTGAGGGTTACAGGTGGCCCCGGCCTGTTGTTTGCTTTCTGGGTTGTCTTGCATTTACGTTTTAATCCTGAGGAAGAGAATGCCTGTGACATAGGTTGCAGCACTCTCGTAGTGGGGGGGGGGGGGGGAATTAGGGCCAGTTGCTCAATGATTTTAGAGCGTTAAAAGCACTGGCGTGATTAAATGAACGGCATTGGGGGACTCCTCCGTAACCTTGTGCCAAGGTGACAGGTTAAGGAACTACCAATCAGAAGTGACCTAGTGTGTATATGGGCGGGGCGCGGGCAGATTACGTTACGTGTACCAGGCATTGAAAATGTTCAACGTATCGGTAAAATAACAAGCATATTTCTTTTAGTCAGGTTGCAATTGGCACAACCATAAGAAAACTCTCCGCTGGCTGCTAGAAGAGGGATAGATCGCGTATGTGAATATCCAGATTACAAGAAAGTCAAATTATCATTCATTCATTCATTCATTCATTCATTCATTCATTCATTCATTCATTCATTCATTCATTCATTCTTTCATTCATTCTTTGAAGCCAGTTAGTGAACTCATTTGACCCTCTAACAATACCAGTTAACTACGCAAACTGCCACCAGATACTGGCCACAGATCAAAATAATATATTTATTTATTTTACACAAAAATCACGAAATTGTAGAATATTGACCGCTGTAAAGACGATTATAAATTATAAGCTGTTTAAAAGTAAAGTTAGTAAAGGTCGTTTTCCTAGGCACTTAGGGCATACAGGGCTAGACCTATATCTTTATAGATCAATCGGCACAAGATGGGTGATGTGGTCATCATCACGCTAGCCGCCTTTACTTCCCGGGACTGCATCCGGTACCCACTTAAGGCTGGGTCGACCTAGGAGTCAAGGTCATTTTTGAAAAACACCTGGCTCCACCAGGGAGCGAACTCACGACCTTCCGATCCGCACGCGAGCATCTAGCCGCTACGCCACGGCGACTTCCCTTATAAGCTGTGAGAAAATGTTATTGTGTTTAATTACAACATAAGACGAAACGTGGGTTTTGAGAAGAATGAAGAGAATGACAGAAAATCACACAAAGAATGTTCTCCTTGAGAGAGATGAAAACCATAATATGGCTGGAGAAGTTAAACGTAGACTTGTAATGCTTTCCAGACATGTTACGAGAAAGAATGGACCCTAAAACTATGCGACGACTGACAAGAGGGATGGGATAAAAAGCAAAGGAGAGACAGCCACCTGGAAATAGGATAGCGAAAAGTTGCCGCCTGTAGCTTATCGACAAGTCACACGATGATTACGAATACATCATATAATTGCTTCAGTCAACATTGTAAACTTGTTTCTCTCCGTAAGCATGTATTTTTAAGAATTGTTAAATCAATTAAACTTGTTTATAGAGCAGCTAATTAATGACGAAAATTCTCCTTATGTGGTTTAAGGAGTCCTATTTTGAGGCAATAAAGAATATACAATAGATTGGCATCAGACAGGGCACCAGAAAGCGCAACTTTATATAGATACAGCGGTAATAGAGCCAGAGGTAGACCGCGTAGAAAATGGACAACATAAATATCAGAGACACTGAAAAGTACTTTATACGAAGCGAACAGAAAGTCCGGCTGCAGAGATCTCTTCATGCCCTGACGCCGCGAGTCATTTTAGCAGTAGAGAAAAGAAACAGGAGAGGAAGAAGAAGAAGAAGAAGAAGAAGAAGAAGAAGAAGAAGAAGAAGAAAAAGAAAAAGAAGAAGAAAGAAGGAGAAAAAGAAGAAAGAATAGACTCAATAACCCTCCAGCAAGCATGTCATAAAAGGCTTTAAAGTTAAGAGCGTATCATTTGAAGTCGGAGTGCATCTGCCTGAGAGGGGAGGAACCAAGAGACTGCGCACAAAAAAAGCCAGATGTGTAAAACCGATGAGGCATGCAAAACTGAAGTTCTCGGAAAGTGGAAAATAAGAAAACAAAAGCATTTCCCGCAAGTGTTTACAGCCGGTAAACACTGAGAAGAAGAAGAAGAAGAAGAAGAAGAAGAAGAAGAAGAAGAAGAAGAAGAAGAAGAAGAAGAAGAAGAAGAAGAAGAAGAAGAAGAAGAAGAAGAAGAAGAAGAAGAAGAAGAAGAAGAAGAAGAAGAAGAAGAAGAAGAAAAAGAAGAAGAAGAAGAAGAAAAAGGAGAAGAAAAAGAAGAAGAAGAAGAAGAAGAAGAAGAAGAAGAAGAAGAAGAAGAAGAAGAAGAAGAAGAAGAAGAAGAAGAAGAAGAATCAATCAGCAACTCTTTTACAAAACATCGCTCTCTTTACGGCACGCCTGAAGGTATCCCTTTCCCTAGCCAGCTCTCCAGTCCCATGTACTTTCAATGCCAATGCTTCTTTAACGTCCTGTATCAATTGTTCCGGTGGTCGACCCCTGCCTCGCCTTCCACAAACTGCACCCCCCATCAGTCTTTAGAAGAAGAAGAAGAAGAATCTAAATTGTCGAATATAGCAGCAGGTGCGATGCTGCCAACCTTTATTGTGGAGACAGTACATCTATGTCACTTTTTGTTTTTAAATTTTAATTTGAAACATTTATATTTAAAATTTAAAAAATATATATTTTTGCTAAAAAGTGCGCCACCCCCCCCCCCCACAACGAAGCCACCATGGTGTATCGGCTAGATGCTCGCCTGCGGATCGGAAGATTGCAGACTTTTTCAATAATCACCTTAGCCCGCAGGTCGGTCAAGCCTTGAGTGGGTACCAGGTAAATCCTGGGAAGTAAAGGCAGCTGGTGTGATGTCGACCAAATCACTCATCAAGTGCCGATTGGTCTATAAAATGTAGGTCTAGCCCTATATGCCAAATACGCCCTAAGACGTGGACAAGTGTCTCTCACTTCCTTTTATGTACAAAATAAAACATAGATTTAATAGTATATTTTAAATGGAAGTGTAGATTTTAGAGAAAAAAAAAAAATGGGAACATGTAACGAGCTCAGGCCCAGCTCTGCCCAGTTACACACTTACGAGTGACGAACTCGGGCCAGGACACTGTGACTCGGCGATTTTTTTTTTATGCGTGTTATCTTTTGAGACTAGTAGGTTTAAGTGACAGTGATGTCAGGTTGGTGTGACGTTGTATTGTCTCCACGGTCTTACTGGCGACCACGGGTGCTCTATATTACAGGATGTGTGCAGTTTTGAAGACCTCATAACATGTACAACTGGCCTCAACCCCCTCCGCCCCCTCTTGCTTACCCTCTGCACAGAACCTATATCCGTCGAGAGAGCGCATTCTAATCCCTCTAAAGTATACCAGCCTGACCAAGCATCAATGACAGGTGAGCTAGTGTATAGATGGGCGGAGCTAGGCCTTACTTCGTAACTAGTTCCATTTTCCCCCCAAAAGAAATGATAGATTAAATAGCATATTTCAAATGAAAATATTGCCTATCAGTCTAGTTGATCAATCGGTCAGCTTGTCCCCTGCGTGCTGCTAACTAAATATTTACCATATCTTTCTGAGATAACAATATGAGATCTGCCCAACAGAAGAACAAGGCAGATCTCAGATACCCCGTTCAACCTTCAAAGATGCTTTAATTAGGGCACCATTAACGTCTTTATCAACCTGGTGTAACCACCACTCCTATGTGGCTAGGGATGCCTGTCTAGTTCTCACAGCGTTGATGGTATCATCTGTGTTCACACCTGCTAGCATGCAATGCTGCAATATGTAATAATACTGGCTGATTTTCAATACTGCTAGATTCTATCCTGGCTTCCAGTCTAGGATATGCATGTTCAAGCAAATAATGTTGCTTCATGTGACATTTTCGCACACGTGCACAGCTAACAACTTGTGAACAAACATAACTGTCTACAATTACCAACGCACAACGTCACTCAGGTTCCGATGTAAATTCTGCCAGTTTATTCATCCCGATTCTCACACTCTATTCAATCAACGTTTCTTTTATCGAAGCCATTGCTGTTAACTTGCACAATAATTTCAACAACAGTCATCCGTACAACTTTTAGTTATCATCAATCAGCAAGTCCTTTACCGAACGTTGCTCTCTTCAGGGCATCCCTGAAAGAATCCCTTTCCCTAGCCAGCTCTCCGGCCCCATGTGCTTTCAATTCCAATGCATTTTCAATGTCTTGTATCCATCTTCGTGGTGGTTGACCCCTGCCTCGTCTTCCACAAACTGCACCTTCCATCACCGTCTTTTCCAAGCCACCATGGCGTTTAATTGGCCAAAATACTTCAAGTTTTGAGACAGTTTAGTACACTTCAGTTAAACTACATCGACTACATTACAATTGTCTTCCTCAGACTCTTGTACGCAAGTGACCAAGAGCCAACATCGTGTCATTTCTCGTTCTTCTCTCCTGTCCCAAGTATCTCGTGCCGTCGTCTCTTGCATGGGGTTTCTGCCCCTGCTTGCTGTGACCGTGGGCCGCCATGCAAAGTCCGGTCATTACACATTATTGGCAAGTTTCTCCGTTAGTTCACAAGAGAGAATATCTCCACATACACAGGAAAGAAGATGCAATGAGATGGATGAGGTTTAACAGTACATTTAAAATGTAAATTTGCACTTTTCAACATATTTGAAATGAAAATGTACAATTAACTGTTTATTTTGTAACAACAATATATTACCAATACACAATACACTGAACTAATTAAATCTATGCAGACACTTCACAAAGTATTCTGAAGGATTTTGGCAAAACTCTCAGCGCTGGGAGTCTGTTGAAGGTCAAGAGCTTCTAACGATGTCCGGTCTGTGAGCAAGGTCATCAGTTTCGTCCAGTCTCCAGCAGATAGAGGCTAAAGGTTAGAGTTCACAAGAGATCGCAAATGAACAGTATTTACAGGCGAAAGGGCGTTTACGGTAAATAATCTTACATTGATTACTAACTCTTGAAATTACATACTTTTCTTAATGCCTACAGTTTCTTTAATATGAATATATATATACTTGTCTGTGTATCGTCCATCAGTCCGTTGCTTATCCATTAACCTTTTTGTACCATATTCCAGTCACCCGTTGTTGTTGTTTTTTTTTTCTGCGAATCTACGCAAGCATTTCTCCAACAGTTTGTATATCTAACTTTATAAATTGTGTGTCCTACAGGAAAAAAACAGGGCGGGGCGAAGCAAACTGAGACAGGGACTGAAAGAGACAGCTGGAAATGGTGACTAAGATTAAAAGACAGAAAGATATATAGACAGACAGACTTGGAGACATAAGAAAAAGAAAATATACAAATTTAGATAAGGGAGAGAAGACATTAAGAAGGAGAGGGTGAAAGAGAAAGAGAGAGAGAGAGAGAGAGAGAGAGAGAGAGAGAGAGAGAGAGAGAGAGAATTTTAAAGAGAGTATGTGTTGAGTTGTTGAGTTGATTCAAGAACCTACATCTCAGCACTCGGAGCATTCCCATAAGCGCTCCGTCCCCATCTTCAGCAGCCAGCGCAGAGTTCAAAGACTAATTGTGCCATTAGCATTCTGATTAAACGTCCGTCTTGCCTTTCCTCTGAGCCTCGAGCATCTGCCAGAACCCCTCATCACATCCCGCTGCATCAATCTCACCAGACTGTGGTGATCCATCTACTCCTCCGAACTGTGTACGTTCTCCCACAAGGCACTAACCACGTCTGCCTCATAATGTATCAGTATTCCACCAAGTTGTGCACAGCCATCCAGTCTGTCCGCCTGTTCATTTCCCAACACAACAGCGTATCCCGGAGAAAAAAAAAATCCAGACAATACACTTCACCCGTGTCCTCCGCAGTGAAGCATGCCACTCTGCGGGAAGCATGCCTGTCCTGACCTACCTCAGCACACTTTCTGAGTCAGTTACAATGGCGATGTGTGTGTGTGTGTGTGTGTGTGTGTGTGTGTGTGTGTGTGTGTCGTGTTCTCTAACCAGCGGAAAGCTGTATTGACCGCCTCCACCTCCATTTTAAACTGGATGTTGTGGTATCATATGCTAGGCTCTTCTGCGCCAAACGTCGACCATTAACTGTTGCTAAGAAACCCCAAGCACTTGTTTTGCCTCTTGACACTGAACCGTCTGTGTAAATAATCGCATCTTAAGATTTGATCTGAATGTGTCTGATTCTATTCGAAGAGCGTGAGCATGAAAGACAAACAGAAAAAAAAGACACAATAACAGCGGGTGCAGGAAAGAAACAGAAGGAGAGAACATAGAACAAAGACAGACTCAAACAAACCTCAACCACAACATGTAAGTTGGCCAGTTTCCTCAGCGCTCCGACGGTATCTTCAACCTCATGGTAGTCAAAGTGTCGCCGATCTGCAGCGTTAGAAACGCCTTCTAGATATCTAGACACAAGTGATCCCATGCTGGCAATCTTGATTTTTACGTTCACCTCCTTGCCCTATTCACAAGAATACAGTGCCGCCATTATACGTACAATTTATAAATGCATACAGTTATTATAGAATCGTTACGCTCCTGTGCCAGAAAGAATTACACAAAATAAATATCAGATGCCCATTTCTTCTTCTTCTGCGTTCATCTGAAGATGTAATTGCGATGTGTCCATTTACAGCGTGGCTGCGATATTTGCACCTTTCGGCCAACACATCCGACTTCTGCGGGCATTTGTTGACTGGGTTAGCCTTCCCGGTTAGATGCTCATTTGAAAACCAAAGAGAAAGATCAGATGCGGTAAAATTCAGCAGCTGCGACAGATATAAGTGGACCATACATAGTTGTCTACATCGCTTAGCAAAGATCATGTTTGTTTAAAAAAAAAGTGATGATGAGGAGAAGCAGGGGAGCAAAACAGAACAAAGAGAAAGAGGAGGAACAGTGGAAGAAAAAGGAGAAAATAAAGAGAAATGTTTGCTAAAGTAGTAAGCGGGGTGCCGGGTTCGATCCCAGCTGCGGGCCATGCTCCTTGCGTTGGTTTCGACTGTGGTATCAAGAAAGCCGACCGTCCGCTTGTCATCATCATTTGTCCTGCCAACTGGCGTAGGCGCTCATGCGTTTCCACAGATCATGATCCCTGGTTGCCTGGAACAGCCGTCTTGATCATGTCGCTCCATGCCATCGTTTCAGCCTGTGACAATACGCGCGGTGACTTCAGAATGTCTTTCCTCAACCTACTTTTATTTGTGTGTATTTTGAAGTATACAGACAAATAGGGATTTGGATACATCCTTAAGCTAAATAGGATGACCACGTCACACCTTTAATTCTCCTGGACCGTTGGTCATATCAAACACTAAAACTTTTTCCCAGATGTTAAGTGTTAAGGTACAGAGATAAGACTGACCAAGCAGACTTACTGACTGGAGATTTGCACACCATCTGTTGGTGTCAGATATTTTATCTCCTAGCCAGGCTTTTAGGAGCAGCTAACTCCGGCTAATTGTGTTTAATTCCCCCTGAGGTTACCTAACTCGACGGCAGGTCCGACGGTCACTATTGACACAGTGAGCGGAAAGTGTTGGCAGAAGAATTGACAAAGTCGGATTTTATTGTGATGACAGGTGAAGTAGGCCGGAGGTGTGACTTGTCCTATTTGCTCTGTCAGATGAATTGACCAGGAGATCCTAGCGTGGGAATTTAAACAATTGTTGTACAGTCACTGACTGACAGCGAATAAACTTACCCACAAGGGAGGAGCTGTGATATCCTTTAATGAGAATGATTTTAGGCGTAATGTAGGAGGAGCTTGATAAAAGTTATAAAGGGCTGAACTCTAGGTCTGGTAAATGAGATCCTGTCTAGCACATGCCATCTGTTGGGCTTAACATAAGCTTGAGACAGAACTTTTGGCATCGTGGTTTCATTTTTCCAGGTAAGATCGAAATTAGGTTCAAATCTATATTTTATGATAGAGTTCTAACTGTCTTTTTACTCAAGTGTTTGTCTTCATCACTTTGTAGTACTCCTAGGCGGACATTTCTTCATTCTCGTAGGGCACTGTCACATTGCTTTATTTCCTATTTGATAGTGTCATGAATGTTTTTCGTGTACATGTGTTTCAATGTTGTAAAACCTAAATGTTGTTGTTGCCATTGAAATTTAATGAACTATCATGTTTTTGAAATCACAAGCGTGAAGATAACTTTGGCAATCTTTTCACGTGTGGTTAATGTGAATCTGTATTACATACAGCTAACACACTGAAATGTGTTTAACTCTCGGGAGGCTAACGCGGAGATTGATCCCGGAGAGTAAATCCACGAGATTTGTTATTTGATTCGCCCCAGAACTATTGTTAGCTTTCTGGGCGCGTCGATTGTTCCAAGCATAGATTCCAGAACTGGTTCTGTCTGACTGATTGTCATTTTGAGTCTGTACGAGAGATGGCACCTGACGTAGAAGACTTGACTATCATTACAGGACGTGTAGAGGAAGGCAGAAGATGTAACAGTTGGAATGTGAGACATAAGCCCTTCCAAATTGGACAGGAGTGAATGTGAGCAGGAGGGAGAGATGAAATGTTTTATTTAAATAAACATGCTTGATGTTAGTATAATATACATGCTTAGTGTACATCTAGAGCAGATACTACAAATATGCGCTTGTTTCTTCGTTCTCCAGTTCCCACATTGGGCAGGGACTAGTAGGCATCCATTATTTGCCGACCGTCGAGTGTAACGACCTGCAGAAAGCAGTGAGGACGACAAACTGGAAAAGATAGGCAGGGTCTCAAGCCGAGAACTGTCCAAAGGTTGTTACTTTCCAATACCTTTATGATTTCATCATCCACATCATTCCAACTCTACTAGCCTAAACAAGTTCATTTTATTTTAGTCAGATTTATTAAATAAATCTTTTTGATGTTGTTACAACAGAGTTAAGTAAATTGTGTACTTAGGTTCAAGTGTCTTTGTGCATATTAGTTTACTTCAGCTAAAAAATATTTAAATCACTTGATGGGGGCTTTTAAGTAATGCCAGGAGAGGAGAGCAGTCGGAGGGGTTAAATGAGCACCTGGATTATTTCATAGTGGGTGTATCCAGAAATCTATCTATCCCTTCTCCTACTCCTGTGGATACAAGTACAGCAACTTTCATTTCATGGAACGAGCCACTCGTTGTTTTCTTGGCTATCCAGGACTGTCTAGGATCAACATAGCTTAGATAATAGTCCAGTTTCTCACGTGGGTGGGCATTGTTAAGGTTCAAACCCACACCCTCACTATATCAGTGTATTTACCCACGTGGGCGCGCGACACAGCCCATCCAGCATCGTCTCTCCCTTGGTATGCCTCTACCATCTTTTCCACTGATCTTTCCAGTTGTCACGATGTTCTCCAAAGTCTCTCTTCTCATTATGTGGCCAGAGAACAGTGTTTGTCTCTGTCTTATTGTTCTATATAGAGATCTACTTTAATTAGCTTCTTTCAAGCAATCGTTGTTAGTTACTCTGCCTTTGCTTGTATGTCGATCATTTGCCAGTTCCATGCGTGATTCCTCGTTCAGACATTCTTGCACATGTTGCTTCATCTAACTTGTGTCTTCTATCAACTTTCGTTGATAAGAGTTTACATGAGTAAGAGTTTAAAAAATAAATATTTAACAAACTCACCTCTTGGCGTAGATTTTGCAGCCACAGACACAGTCCATGAGAGCACGTATTCACCGGGACATGACAAAAGTAGATTGTGACATCAATTCTCTGAGCATGTTGTGATGTCAGCTCACAACTCAGCCAATCAACGAACAGATCTTCGGCACATGACCACTCCGACCGTTGAGTTCCTTCATGGATAATTTGCCTCACAAATTTCGCACCATTGTCACATTCTAAAGTGCACACAACAACGCTTTCATTGTTCGTCGCGTCGTTTGAGTTTTGCTCGTTTGACTCGTCATTGTTTAAAATAATTTGATTCTGTGGCTGGGGATAGCTGGCTTGGACAGCTTGCAAAGATGGCTGTTGTTTTGGTACAGCTCGACGAGAGTTTCCTCTTGAGTTTTTTACTGCTTCTTTGCTGTAATCTTTTAACGCAGCTCTCCATAGCAAATTGAAAGCTGGAAAAAGAGCGTTTGGGCTGTTTTCCATTGGTGGACACTTGTATGTTCTTGAGAGAAAAAAAAAAGCGTGAAAGAATTCAGGTGAATTTTCATTACTTAAATATTTTGTGCAGACTATAATTTCTTTTGTATCATCTCAATTCAGGTGTGCAAGGCAACAAGTAGGCTGATAGATTATCTGCTTCTGCTCCTTTGGGCGGTGAGCTACTATATGTTAAAGTGGGTGTGGTGAAGGCTGTATGGGATCAAATGGACAGTACAAACGAGCAGATATGGAATGCATACATTGAAAGACTAATTTAACAAGGGTGTATAGAGGTTCTGAAAGATATTTAACATTGAAGGGGAAACAGATGTAGACTTTCAATCAGGTTGCAACTGGTACCACTAGCATGCCAACTCTTCGTTGGCTGCTGAAGAAGGGGTCGGAGCACGTGTGGGAATGTTCAGAGTCCAGTGATGTCAATTCTTGATTCATTCATTTATGCATTCATTCCTGCCCTCTCCTATAATCTTCTAATCTCATTTCAATTTTTCCTATGTTAGCACACTTCATCAATACTCATAATTTCATATAATCTTAAGTCGTCTCTCATTTTAGTTTCAGCTTCACCTAATCTAGTGATTTATATATCACTACCTAGTCTCTAAATTTTGATAGAGTACGACACGTCGACATGATAAAAATGCTTACAAATTGATGGGAAAGACCTTAGACTGTTTAAGAATACATACCGGAATCAACATGCTGCTGTAGGAATCAATTACGAAATAGGACCCTAACAACTAATAAGAGAGTTGTGCCACAGGGATGTATATTGTCTCCGGATCATGTTTCCTTATATGAAAATATTATGCGAGACCTGAAAGATTTGAAGGGAAGTAACGTGGGAGAATATTATCATCAACATGTAGCAGGTCCTATGCAGAACGATGCTCTCATCACGGTCTGCCTGAAAGAAACTCGGTCTTTCGCCGGCTGTCCCGCGTCTTACAGTTTTATATTCAAGGAGTCACTTATATATTGTGCCAATGTTCGTGTTGTTCGGCTCTTGCCGCGCCTTCCAGGTACCTTGCCTTCTGCTATTATTCTTCAGCTCAAAAGCCTATACTTTCTTTACTAAGGCTAAGAGATAGTTCCACGACCCACATCCGTATGTTGTTAGAGGGAAGATGCAGGCTCTGAAAATTTTGATTTTAATTTCCTTGCTAGTGCTTATCCGTAGACTTTCCATGTTGTTTAATCTTTGCACTGCTATGGTCATCCTCCTTTTGATTTCTTTTTTTGAACAGTCTCCACTGCTGTTTATTATAGATGGGATGATGTAACACCAACAGTATATGATATGCAGATGATACTGTGTTTTTGCAGATAATGAAGAAGATATAGTGTTTAGTAGATGCACGATGGTTCACAGTAAGAAACTAGGCTTGGAATTAAATTGTAAGAAAACTGAAATTACAAATTATGGTCATTACCAAGAAGAGAGAAATACCAAAAGTGTGAAATACATGCAAATAGCAAAAAAAAAAAAAAAAAAAAAAAAAAAAAAAAAATGCGGTCCCGTTGTCTGCATGGTCGACCTCTGAACCCGTTACCGCTGTATACATAGAGCAATGTTATACAGATACAGCGGTAGCAGAGCCAGAGGTCGACCGCGCAGAAACTGCACCGCAGAAATATCAGAAACACTGAAAAGTACTTTATACGAAGCGAACAGAATGTCCTGTTCCAGAGATCTCTTCCTGCCCTGACACGTCGAGGCGTTCTAGGAATAGAGGAAAGAAGAAAAGGAGGCACAATTCCTAATCACTTTAACAGATTCAACTGTTTGGGAATAATCATAACATCTAATGCAAAATGCCTTGCAGAAATTGGAACAAAAATCGCCATGGCAAAAGTGGCCTTCACCAAGTTGCAAAAGATCCCACCAACAAGAAGATGTCAATTGCAGTGAGAGAAAGAGTGTTACAGTGCTATATAGAACCTGTGTTATTGTATGATGTGAAATATGGACAAAAAGCAAACAAGCTGAAACACATTTACTCGCAGCAGGGATGTGGTTTTTTAGAAGAAGGCAAAGAATATCATGGAAGTATAGAAAGTCAAATGAAACAGTTCTCATCGAGACAGATGAAAGTGGTAAACTTATCATAACAATTATCTTGGGACATATGATAAGAAGACATAGATTCCAGAATTTGATAACAACTGGCAAAATTGATGGAAAGTGAGCAAGCGAAAGGCAAAGAGATTAATACCTGGATGGACTGGCCAAATGGACGGAGCGAGACACTGAGGCACTGAACTAATTCGGAATTCTAGAGATCGTGTGAGATGGCAAAACATGACAGCCTGTGCTTGCCGGCACAGCACGTGATGGTTATGATGAAAATTTAATCTCACTTTATCCATCCTAACCAACTGTATCATCTTATCGTCTTATTTCACCATCGCACCAAATCATACTATGCAATAATTTCACCATCATCATCGCTATTGTCATCTTGTTAGCTGGTACAGTGGAACATCGCTTAACGAGCATAATTCGTTCCAGAATCATACTCGTGAAGCGAAAAACTCGTTATGCGAAACAATTTTTCTCATATAAACTAATTTAAAATACGATAATGCGTTCCATGTCGCAAAAAATACTTACAAAATGCTACGTATATTTTTTATTCAAAGAAAATTATATACATATTGTTAAGGAGAGTGAATCTTCTTCATGTTTTCTTCCACTGCGGAACGAACCCACCTGGAATGCGAATTCGATTTGCAGGATGAAAAAAAAGTCAAAATAATTATGATACATAGCTAACTATTTTTTTTTAACCAGAAAGATGTCCAGAGACATTTGTTTTTGCAGACGCTTCAAATTTGGCGAAAATGCGACACAGCATTATCATTAAATAAATAGCCACTTCCTTATTAGGTTGATGCTTCTCAATGTAAGATGCAATAGTTTCCCATGCTTTCAGCATTTCTCTTATTTCGCCAGAAGATTATTGCTTTTCTGTTACCTCCTCCTCTGACAAACTTTCCTCCAAAACTTCTTGCTGTGAAACACAATGCAACTCCTTAAACTCTTCGGTGGTCAGCTCTTGGCTGTGCTCTTCCACAAGCTCTTCGATATCACTGTTATCCACCTACAATCCCATGACAGTGGCCATAGACACAATCTCGTTGATAACAGGTTCCGCAGGTACTGTCTCGAATACCTCAATGTCACAAATCGACAACGCTCTCCGGCCAAAGCTTCTTCCAAGCAGAAGTTAGGGTTCTCTTGGTAACCCTTTCCCCAGCCGTGTCGATCATCTTAAGGGAGGCAACGATGTGAAAGTGATTTTTCCAAAACTCTTTGAGAGTGAGGTTGGTCCCTTCAGTCACCTGAAAACAATGCTTGAAGTGTGCTTTAGTGTAGAGTTTCTTAAAGTTAGAAATAACTTGCTGGTCCATGGGCTGGAGTAACTGAGTGGTGTTGGGAGGCAGAAACTGGATCTTGGTGAACTTAAAATTTTCAGGGAGGTAATCTTGGAGGCCTGGTGGATTCATGTACATATATCCCAATATAACATAAGTTTGAGAAAACATGTGATCACAAGCGACACTACGATGCTACTGGAACATGCGCACAATACGGGACTTCCCCTCTCCTCGCCACTCGTAATGCGAAACGTCGCTCGTTAAGAGGTAGGTAGGATTGACAATGTGAGAGACGGTTATAACAAAAAGATCGGAAGGGGAAAACACGCACGCACACACGCGCGCGCGCGCACACACACACACACACATATATATATACACACACACGCACACCCGGACATGTGAAGAAAGCGAGAGAGGGAATGAGAGTCATTATAAAACACAGAGGGAAACACACACAAACACACACACACACACAAACACAAACACCTACACAGATGACAGCGACTTGCTTTGAAAATGGCAGAGCTTAAAAAATCCAACCGCTGGAAATCAAAAAGCACCATAGATTAATTGAAAGTAATACTGTTAAGACGTTAATCTGCGTCAGAAATACAAACACAATGTTGGTCTCCCCTTGCATATCAACAACCCCCAACAAAACAACTTCTCATCTATTAACTAACACGCAACATGCAGATTGCAGGTCACGTGATGTTCACGTGGCGGGCGGAGGCCTAATTCGTGATGTCGGAATACTGCACTGACAATTATCAGCTGTGCCGCATTACAGGAATTTGTGGCAGCGCTGGCTTATCTGAAGGAGAGCGGGGGAAGTGGGGGGGGGGGGGGGCGGTTTTTTCTTGTGTTCGAATCTGTGTGGAGGTGAAGATTTTTCATTGTTGACTTGAATTTCCAGATGAACCCAATATACAGTGGGTAGTGGGAAATTTTCTGGGAAGAAAAGGCAGCAGGCATGATATAAACCAGTGTTGTTCAAACTTTTAACACCTGTGGCCCGCCAAAAGAAAAATTTGTTTGGCGGGCCACCTGACAGCTAATCGAACACGAAAAAATATATCTAGCAATTTATGTGTTAAGTTGTATGTGACAAAACTGCATACTTTTTAGCTAGTGCGACATCTGTTACTGGTTTGAAAGTAAAAATGTGATATATGGAGCGTTGTTTATGACAGACGAAACATCCATTTAGATTCTGTTTTGGTTTTTTTTTTTTTTTTTTTTGGTAATATGCATAAGAAAGTCTTTTCACACAAATAGGAAGTCCTTTAGATATTAATCCTACAGACTGGAACTGGAAAACCACGTATCCGTCATTTTTACGTGAATAGCCAGAATCGTTTTTCGGTCCGCATAGACTTTCTTTTTCTTCTTCGTCTTCTTCTTCGTCTGCTTATTCTTCTTCTTCTTCTTCTTCTTCTTCTTCTTCTTCTTCTTCTTCTTCTTCTTCTTCTTCTTCTTCTTCTTCTTCTTCTTCTTTTTCTTATGCTTCTTCTTCTTCTTCTTCATCTTATTCGTCTTCTTCTTCTTCTTCTTCTTCTCTTCTTCTTCTTCTTCTTCTTCTTCTCCTCCTTTTCTTC